AATCTTGGGCTCGTTGGATTCGTCTTTTCGAGATGCTCGATTCGACTATGAACTCGCTAGATTCGACATCTGTTTGACCTTTCAAATGCCTCCGAAAATCATGTAGTAGTGGTTTAATGACTTGATCCGAGCCTGATTTGACTCGGATTGGACTAACTTTTATATCATTAGGTCCGTTTCATCGAGCCAATCAGTTTGACTATAATTTTGCTGAAATCGGAGTTCCGGATGACTCGCAATCGAAGTTTGAATGTTCGTGCTCAAAATATTGCATCGAGATTCGTGCTGGATTATGATGATTTGTTGGTGGCGTATCAATTGCCCCCCTATTTTCAGACGAGTCTAAAATTTTTTTCGTCTGAAAATATAAAGAATCAAAGCATCACTTATATATATATACCCGATATATATATATATATATATATATATATATATATAAGCATTTAGGTGACAAATCATTAAACTTTTATTTGTCTGCCCCGCCGTATGATTTGCTTTAATAATCCTCCTCATTTGTTTTAATAATCCTCCTCAATTGCTTTAATAATTCACTTAATGCAAATGAATGTGGGAAGCTGAAGTGCAGGCAGTCGAAGTGAGATCGTTGGGCTGGGAAGCGAAGGCAGACGAACGGAGTTGAACAGTGGGAGCGAGAAGTAGAAGCAAACAGAAAGTGGAAACGAAAGGAGCTGAACAGTGGGAGACGGAGGTAGAAGTGAACGGAAAGTGGAAATGAAATGAGCTGAACAGTGGGAGACGGAGGAGGCTGGAGCAGAACAGCGGGAAGTGGAAGTTGGATTGGCAAAAAGCTGGAAAAAGAATATTAAAATATATTTTCCTTTTTTTATTAAAGAGCATTTAATGACCCATTCCATTTTTCAACCTATAAATAGGACTAAAGGGGAGGGGTAGAGTTGCGACGAAGCTTCATGACGACGCATTGCAGCAATGCATCGTGGGTCGCGGCGGGCGTCGTGGCAACGTGATCAGTTGCGGTAGTGTGCCGCGGCGACGCGTTGCAACAGTGCGTCGCGACGACGCTTGGTGGCGGTGCGGTACGGTGGCTCGTTGTGTTGCGGTAGTGTGCCATGGCGGCACATTGCGATAGAGCGTCGCGACGATGCACTTCGGCGGTGCTTCACGACGAGGCGTTGCGGTGATGTGTCATGGCGATGGGTTGCCACAGTGTATCGAGGTGACGCGTTGCGTCAGTACGTCGCGGCTGGGCGACGCGGTGTCACGTCGCAGTGGTGCGTCACAGTGACACATTGCGAAGGATCGTCACAGCTTGGTGTCGCGGCGAGGCAACGTTGCGTTGCGACGATGTGTCGCGGCAACGAGTTGCAACAGTGCGTGGCAGCGAGGCGTCGAGGTGATGCGATGCATTGTGGTTGTGTGTCACGTTGATGTGATGCGGTGGTGCGGCATGACAAGGCAACGGGTAGCAGCGAAGCATCGTGACGACATATTGAGTTCAAGGCTATCATCCGAGACCATGATTTCCCAAGAAGAAGAAAGTCGTCCCGCGTATCGGTGAAGAGTTAAAGTGCATAGTTGTGGTGAAGAGTTGCAGCGTCGAGTTGTGGCGAAGAGTTGCAGGGCCGAGTTGCAGTGAAGTGTTGCAGTGTCTTTTTGCGGACGAAGTGTTGCGACACTGTTGCGGTGCAAAGCTGTGGTACCGAGCTATGGTGCAAAGTTAAGGTAAATAGGAAAGTCGTCACCGTCCTGCGTAGGAGGCAAACAACGAGATTTTCTTTCTCGTTGAGGTGTATTTCAGAGGTGATGAAGAAATGATGTAGTTTTCCAATGGCGCTTTGAGGGGAAGATTTTTATGCTTATGTTGTGACAATATCTGAAGACCCCCTGACGATCATCAGAAGTAATGAAATTTTGGGGAG